GAGCTCCACTTCCGAGGGCTACCAGAGCAGCTTCTGAAGGCAGTGGAACTTCGAAGAGGGCCTCCTCTGCTGATCTTAAGACCGGAGAGGGTCTGTAGGGAAGGATATCTTTCAGATATTTGAGGCCTGAGACGGAGAGTTTTAAACATGGACATGAGCACCTTGAATTAGGCCCTGAAACAAACTGGAAACCATTGTTGTTTTAAAACATGGTTCATATGTTATCTAAATGGAACCCCAGCCAGTATTCTGGTGGCTGCATTTTGGACCTACTCATTATCAAGGGCAGCCCCACATACAGCGCACTGCAAAAATCCAATCTAACTGGAGCATGGAGCGCAGTGGCAAAATCATTCCTGTCCAAAAGGGGCTATGGGTGGCAGACCTGATGTAGCTGGAAAAAGGCACTCCTAGCCATTGAGGCCACCTGAGCCTCCAGGAGCATCTACAGTGGTACCTCAGGTTACGAACGCTTCAATTTACGTTTTTTCAGGTTATGAACGATTGTAACCCAGAAATAGGTTGTCTGAGCTCTCAGAGGCCTCGCCGCTGCCTGGAGCCAAGCCCGGACATCTGCGGGGCCTACGGAGCTCTCTGAGGCCTCCGCGAATGCCGGGAGCCAAGCCGATTGTGATTGAATCACATTTTAATTTTGTACTGTTCTATTGATTTCATTTTATAGATCAATGGCCTCGTTAGATAGTAAAATTCATGTAAAATTGCTGTTTTAGGGGTCGCTTTTCATCGTCTGGTTCCTTTTTGCATTTTAGTTTGTGTGGCTTTTTCGGTTTTTTGACTGTGACTTGTTCTTCATTTTATGGGACTGACTTGTGACTTCGCTTTTGTAACTGTGGCTTGTGACTTCGCTTTTGTGACTGTGTGGAACCTAGTTCAGCTACTGGTTGATTGTGTGACTTCAGAAATGGATAAAAGCCCCCCATCCAAACTGACTATCATCAATGCACATAAGAAAAAATATAAATGTTAATTTTTTCCATCTAAAATACTGTCTTATTTATTTTATAGTACAGTACATTGATTACTGCCTTCATTTTATGGATCAATGGTCTTGTTAGACAGTAATATTCGTGTTAAATTGCTGTTTTAGGAGGTGTTTTTCATTGTCTGGAACGGATCAATCCACTTTCCATTACTTTCAATGGGAAAGTCCACTTCAGGTTAAGAATGCTTCAGGTTAAGAACGGACTTCCGGAACCAATTAAGCACTTAACCTGAGGTACCACTGTATATCCAGAACAGGCTGTCCCACCATCTTGCAGACAAGAGAAACCCCTGTGTCTTTTCAGCATTCAGCTTCAATTTATTGGCCTATATGCAGCCCATCGCCTGATCCAAACACCAGCCTAACACCTCACCCACTTCTCCCAATTCAGATAGAAGAGAGATATGGAGTCTGGTATCATCTGCATCTTGACAACACTTCAATCTGGATTACAGATATTGTTGGATTACATTCAGCATCGCTGACAATTGGACATACTTAGATTACAAACTCCATAGACTCCAGCTAACAACATCTGGTTGAGTTATTTGAACTTTTATGGAACATTGTTTCTGGTTACTAAGGCTTACCACAACTACACAATTATGCATGTGTGTATTAGCTGTTATAGTACAAATACTGTTTTTTCCTATGGGAGCTAAACCCAATGGGCTGGGGAGAATAGAGTGGTACCATTACTTCCGCTGATGCAGTCTAGAGCCAGTGTGGTGTAGTGGTTAAGAGTGGTAGTCTCGTAATCTGGTGAATGGGGTTCGCGTCTCCGCTCCTCCACCTGCAGCTGCTGGGTGACCTTGGGCCAGTCACACTTCTCTGAAGTCTCTCAGCCCCACTCACCTCACAGAGTGTTTGTTGTGGGGGAGGAAGGGAAAGGAGAATGTGAGCCGCTTTGAGACTAATGAAGGGGAGTGAAAGGCGGGATATCAAATCCAAACTCCTCCTCCTCCTCCTCCTCCTCCTTCTAGAATTGCATTATCCTTTGCACTGCTCTGCTAACTCATATTTAGCATATAGTCAACTAACTGGGTCAAATATAAAAACACTAAAATCATGTATCATAGAGAAACTTTTATGCATCTTCTACATAATACATGTGCATTTTAAGTTATCCTCATGTTTTCTGACGCAAGTGGGTTCCCCCATGCTCTTTACGTATATATTCAGCCGGGAGCGGGGCGTGCCCCAAAGGGGCAGGGCGCAGAAGGAGCCGGCTGCATCTTGCCTCTCTTCCCCTTCCCAGGCTTGCCTCAGGGGAATGGAGGAGCTGCAGCTAGGAGCATTGTGCCCGCAGCCTCTCTCCGCCCCTCAGGTCAAGCTGGGCGCATTGTATTTAGCCCACCAAGCACTGAACACTCTTACAAAATGAAGTTAAATGAAGGCACACATATGGATTAGAATTTTATAGGATTAAATTTAACCGCTCAACTGAATTTCTTCTTTATACTTTCAGAACTTGGGTTCAGAAAAAAAAGCTTATGACTTCTGTTATAAAATAGCTTCTTATCTAGATGCAGCTAACCTTCTGCATTTGAACACCCCCTTTTTAATACTCTGCTGCTCTAGAAACCCTGAGATTTAGGATCTGGTTATGACTTAGGATCTGCGTATCTAAACGATCCTCTAATGCCATAGGAATCCGCCTGAATATTGAAGTCATTGTCAATCCTGTGTTCTCCAACTCTGCCTTTGGAGATGAGAAATGCCAACTGGGGAAACTGGCCTTTTCAGTGGTGCATCCCATTTCTGGAATTTGTTCCCTAACTAGGTTCATGCAGAGCCAAATCCTTATGTGTTTGTGGTGCCAGACTTCTAATCTTCTTTAAATCTGTTTAATGCTGTTGGCTTGTGCTGCTATTTTAGTTATCTTTTTATAACATTGTTGCACTTTAAATTATTTTAAAATATAAATTGCAAGTTGTTGCAAAGTTTTGATTTGGTGGGATATTAAACATTTAAGGCTTTTAAAAAAGTTAAATGCACAAAAATAGTAGTAATGCTGGATCAATGATTTTCTAACTAGTGCAGTCAGTTGAGCCTCACTCCACAAGGACCAGCTATTTAAACCTCAGAATAGCAAAAGGGAATTATACAAAACACACAGGTGTGCTATTTAACATCTTGTATTATTCTGAAGCGGGACGCGGGTGGCGCTGTGGTCTAAACACGCTGTGGCTTGCCGATCAGAAGGTCGGCGGTTTGAATCCCCGCGACGGGGTGAGCTCCCGTTGCTCGGTCCCTGCTCCTGCCAACCTAGCAGTTTGAAAGCACTTCAAAGTGCAAGTAGATAAATAGGTACCGCTCTGGCGGGAAGGTAAACGGCGATTCTGTGCGCTGCTCTGGTTCGCCAGAAGCGGCTTAGTCATTCTGGCCACATGACCCGGAAGCTGCACACCGGCTCCCTCGGCCAATAAAGTGAGATGAGCGCCGCAACCCCAGAGTCGGTCATGACTGGACCTAATGGTCAGGGGTCCCTTTACCTTTACCTTTACCTATTAATCTGAAGCAGGATGCAAGACTGGTTCTTAGTTCACTGACCCCAACGCATCTTATTTTATTATTTCACAATGTCCAATACATACTAGAATTACACAAAGGTAGCTATGATAAGTGACTTAAAGTAGGTGATTTTTTTTAAAAAAATAGAGCTTTCTGTTGTTATTTTCAATTGCGTAACCAGCTAAATTTCTTGATAATATCCAAATTAGTATAAGAATTATACTTTTATGCAGCAAATGACACAATTTTGTCTCAAGAGTATTTATGTGTGTGGTTTATTTCATAGCTGTTCCACATTTTTAATAAAGAAAATATTAATCAAAGCTTTACTTATAAGCTTTTCTAATGTTGTTTAGTATTCCAGTTCAACAAAGATCAATAGAGGCCATTCCTGTCTCTTGACGCCTCTCCAGGAAGCAGAGGTGTGATTATGTAAATAGCACTGGTTCCTCTTTGCTTCTGCCAGCTTGCTTATCTCCAAAGCCTTCTGCCTGCTGCTATTGGCGACCAGTACAAGTACACACAAATACCTCTTATCTCTTAACAAAGCTCGAAAAGCTCAAGGACTGAAGCCAGTAATGTTAAACAGTGATGCGTGTCTGATTCTATTTGTCAAGTGATTCATTTCAGTAAATTTAATTTCTGTTATATTTCTTAGTTCAGATATAAAGATCAGTTAGAATGAGAGAAAGAAAACAGACACGCAGAACATTCACCAGGGTTTGAGATAATCCATCAACAATCCAATGCAGCATCGTAATATAATTAGAAAGAGTCAGTTTCACAAAATGGGTATAAACAGGGAATAAAGGAATTTATGTTTAGAAATCCATCTGGTTAACCTTGTGTTCTCCTTGTACATGAGAGCAATGGATTATGAAATGAACCCTCAAAACAAAAGGTTTCTTTAAAAAGCACACATGTAAATATAATTAAAATAAACTCATTTAACTAACTTTGAAAGCTTTGTGATGTGTAGAACGCACACATACTGGCACTATGATTGTCTGACAAAACACTGCCCTTACACCCGCCCCCACCAGTGTTAATCCTTGGTCCAAGCACTGCAGAAGCATAATCCCCATTTAGCATTAGTAGCAATGGCTTCTACTGTGAGGAACTATTTTTCGATTAGTATGCACTGATTCACGAATAGCTTTTCCACAACATATTCTCAGCTCAGCAAGAAGCCCACACTCCTGAATGAACCAGAACACATTAGTGAGAGAAAGTTCATTAACCTTGCTAGATGCAGGGGTTAACAGGATAGCTGAAGAAAGGAACCGAGTGAACAGCTCTGATGCAAAACAAATTAAAATGAATGTCATCATTTCTTTTGATATTCATTAGCTAATTCAGAGGGAGAAAGCTCTTCTTAAATTTGCAACCATTTATCAGTGAAAAGCAGGTGTACATCTGCTGCTCAAGTGCTTCTCAGCGGTTAAAATAATAATAATACAAACAACAACATGATGAGACTTACCACATCCACTAAGGGAGTAACTGGGAGAGGGAGAGAAGACCTGAGCAGCAAAATCCTCAAATGTCATTGCTTCTTTGTGGTTGTGGATTATTGCTTCAAGGTACAGAGCTCTTTCCTCATAACTGTTGGGAGCAGGTTAAGGAAATGCACTCTTACAGATACAAAGCCAAAGGAACTTATATTCAACCTATGCATTTTCCAATTAAAACCAAGCCACAGTTGTCAGAGTTTTGACAAAGCTACAAGATTCTAAGGACTTCAATAAAATGTATTTCTCAAAAAAAAACACACACACAAAAAACCCCCAAACATTTTTCTGACAGCTAAATATAAGCACTATATGAATGTAGTGTTTTTTCATTCTTCATTAAAAAGGCTGATTGACAAAATAAATTTGAGACCTTTATAAATGAGAAATGAAAATAATTATGTAACCATAAGGAAAATTGCCATAGCCAATAAACTCAACAGAAGCCCCCCATATATTTTTCCTATATAATAGATCCTTTTTTCAAAATGTAAATATATTTAAACTTGAGCTACAGATTATAGGAAAGAAAAGGATAAGAAAAATTAAAGTATGAAAACACCTATTATTCATAAGAATATCGAAGTATACGAAAGTATAATAAAGTCATATTTAAAGCTTTTTCAGAAGATTCATTTGACGCATCTGAAATTTCTTATTTCTTGATGGATTCAATTCTCTTTTTTTAAAAAAATAGAGCATGTATACACTTCAGTCTTAATTATGCTGACAACAAAGCATCTAAAACCAACAGTATTGCCTTTTAATTAAAACGCGGCAACCTGGAACACGCGCCATTCAAATGCATAATCAAAAACCAGTCACCAATAAAACTTACAAGCGGAACAAGCTGAAGCAACTTTCCAGCTGTCTTAATAGGACCCCCGCTTGTGATAGCTTTTCGAAGGGGGGAGAGCAAATCTCTCGCTTTGTGTGCAGCTTCTGTTTTCTTTGAAGGTAAATCATGCACTTCAAACAACAGGGTAACATTTTGGAGGAAAAAAAATCTACAACAGATTGAAGTATCTCACATACAACTTTGTGAATTAAACAATCAAACAGCCAGTATGAAATGTCATTCCCTGTCACTCAGTTTAAAAACAAGTTTCCAGAGTTTCCTAGTATTTTTAAATATGAGTTTAGTTTTATGTGACTCCTACCATCTGAACTGAAAAGTGTCATTTTCGTTGTTTGAAAGGTATGTCCTTGAGGACAATCCCAGCAGTCCTTTTCAGTTATACAGTGTAGTATCCAAGTTAACTGATCACCACATTTAGGAACCTGACATGGAAGGGCCCCAAAATGAAAACATATTTCAAATAACTTTGTGTCTTTAGGAATGAAAGTGAGCATGGCATTTTTATTTGCTTTCTGCTTTCAAAACCCATTCCAGACAGTACAAGCACTAGCCTCAGTGTATTTGGGGTTGCTTCACTGTTACAGGCTGAACTCCTGGTGACTCTTCTTAATGAATAGCTCCCAAACTTCCTATGAGAGGAGGCACACGCCTAGCACCTCTTCTAAAGGGACTGACTGATGCCATTCACATCTCATTATGCTTATTCTGCACAGCACTTGGCTGTTGCCAGGGCTCTCTCTTCCACACTGACACAGCAAGCCGCTGGTCCTGAACAGCAGGACGTTAGGCCTGAGTGGCCGTCTGGTGCACAGACTTTCTGTCTCTAAGCTGGCACGTGCTGGCGCAGCAGGAGAAGACCAAGGCGTGACAAATTACTGGAAGAGCTAAGCTAAACTTATGGCTGTAAACCACCTGAGCCTGTGGACCTCTGTGGACCTGCCATCCACTCTCAATTCCTCTTTGGCCCTGGTAGCATACAGTCTGCTCATGGGCTCAGTTCAACGGAGGCAGATAAACTGGAAATTCTTTTCATGCTGCGCCTAATAAAATCCCATGAAAAAGACTTCATATCCAGCATAATAAATGGAGGAAATGCTCATGTATAATTTAAACACTGCACCCTAAGGCAGCAAGACTGGCAAATTAATTCAAGTTGTAATAAAATTAATAATGTTAAAGCATATAAAAATGTTCATGAGTAAAAAAATGATGAGCAACTGCATCCCTTCCTGACAATATTTGGAAATCAACAAATTTGCTGAATACCTAGATGTTTGCTTCCATTGATCCATTTCTTTTACCATAAAGCAGCATGCAACAGCGATGCTCCCCAATTCCTCTTATTCCTCCTTTCTTTAACGTGTTAATGTTTTATCCTGGTTTCTGACCATTCTGTGCCAGATAACTAGTCTCGTAGACATTTAGTAACTAAGAACACAGATAGTTTTATAGTGTTTTCTGTAACAGAGAGACAAACTAAGGTCTACTCTTTGCTAACTTTATTGATAATCATCACCCAATGAATACTACCAATGGTACTCACAGCAGTAATTTTTTTAGGTGGGTTGATGTCTGCTGGAATAAGAATAGCAACTATTTTCTCCACTAAGCCACATGATGCCTAGAGGCACCCTTGTGATGAATACATTATTTTTTTACAGATTAGTGAGGAGAAAGTGAGACAAGGGTAATGGAAAGAGGAGAAAGCCATGCTGTGTGAGACAACATAAACTTTAGTCTACCCTACCTGCCATTTAGCTATGAATACTGGAATTAACAAATCTGTTTAACACAGGTAGTTTAAATACGTGATTGCAGTCACAAACTTCACAAAACTATGGTGGTTATATGAAAGGCAGAAAACTCAAAGAAGAATGATACCACATTAACCTGTAAAAATTAACATAATTTAAACAAAAGGTATTGGAGAGACTGTGGACATTATTTCAACATAATTTTACAGCAATCAGAAGACTGCACCAAGCACTGTAAATAAATTCACCGTGTCATATTCTTAAAAAATATCCTTCACAGGTTATTTAGATGTGAAACTTTGAATGCAAAGTACACAACCTTGGTTATGGTCCAGTAGCAACCACAACTGTGTAGTTTTAACTGAAAATCTTTTGGGGGAATTCTGTATGCACTTGGGATAAGTGCAATTCGATAGTCCTTAACAGATGACAGAATAGCTTAATAACAACACAATAAGTAATGGCTTGCTCTCTTTGTACCACATAATCATTCTGCAGTTTACATAAAGGAAAAATAAGATGGCTCAGCAATAGTTTTAGATGTGTCTTCTTTAGTTGCTTAATATTTTTCTAAGAAACTACCAACACAATCACTCTTTAGCTGCAACTTTAGATAACTTATCTGAAATAGGAAATTAAGAATGAGTTTGAGAGGTAAAGGTCACTCCCCCCAATTCCCCCCCTGCTCCATTCACACTTTCAGGTTTGAGTCAAAGTATATAGCATGCATTAAATTATTGCTAATAAACATCTTTGCCCACCCTTTCACTCACCCAAAGATCTCCATCTGATGACCAAAGAAGATACGATACGGGATATCAGTGATTAGGTCTCTCACTCTACTGTTTCAGTGGGTTGCTTTGAATATAGAGTGGGACTCATAGAAGATATTTAACTATTTCTTTTATGTAAACTGCTGCTCAGGTGAAGCTGCTATTTACTATAGAGGGAGAAAAGATAGCTACAGTACCTGTGGCTCTATCTTTCCTATGCCTCGTGGAGCAAACAGCAACTTGGAGAAGGAGCAATTTAGATCAGGCAAACAATAAGGGAGCTAAAGGAACATTCTCTCCCATTGTTTCTCTGGTCTTCACATCAGCATTATCGCATAGCTTCTTCTTCTTCTTCTTCTTCTTCTTCTTCTTCTTCTTCTTCTTATTATTATTATTATTATTATTATTATTATTATTATTATTATTATTAAAAGCAGAATATATTGATCATGGATCTTCCACACAACTGCCAGTTTGGATCCAACCAACTTAATTTCCCAGAAATATGAGCACTCAGGTGCCTTTAGTTATGTACTAATAAGTCTTTAGATTTGTCATCTGGGCAGCCCAGGACCTCCATCCACATTGCCCGGCATGGGCGTAACCGGGGGGGGGTAGGGGTGCAGCTGCCCCCCAAATCAATAAAAATACTTAACTGAGGTTCTGCCCCCCCAAATCCTGGCTACACCCATTCTGCCCAGGCTTGCGCCATGGGGAGGTCACTTGGGTGCTGCTAACACAGTAGTTTGACTTCCCATCTGGAAGCTCACTCCATTGTCTCTCAAGACAGACAGATACCAACAACTGCTCAAAAGCATGCTGCACTAATACAGGATTTTCCCCAAGCTCCCCTTGTTCTTCAGTTTAAACAGCAAAAAGCCATTAGGGCCCAAAGTGGCCCAAAGAACTGCACCAGACAATGTCTCTGCATAACTTTCACCAACAATTTTTTGGGGGTGAAAGCTTCCCTTGATACTAATTATCTACAGTGGGTATTTGCTTTTATCTAATTTTGGTGTCGTTTGTGTTCTATTTTGTCTAATTTTAATATACGTTTATGTGATGGATATGTTTTATATTCAAATATTATCAATTTTAAAATGACTGGATTAATACAATAGTAATGTATTTGCTTTAGAAACTAAACCTTAACTGAACATGGAGGTGTGCTGCTGTACACATAGCCTTACCAGATACTTCAGAGATGACTATTTTTCACTTCTGGCACCTCTCTTGAACAGTTTGTCCACTTGCATGATGGTCTATTTTGAAATGCAAGAGAGGCCACATTACAGTAAAGCTTCCTCAACCAAGGGGACAAAATATATACAGTTGTACCTTGGAAGTCAAACATTTTGGCTCCTGAACACTGCAAACCCGGAAGTGAGTGTTCTGGTTTGCGAAAATTCTTTGGAACCCAAATGTCCAATGCAGCTGACGCGGCTTCTGATTGGCTGCAGGAGCTTCCTGCAGCCAATTGGTAGCTGCACCTTGGTTTCTGAACATTTTTGAAGTCAAACAGACTTGCGGAACAAATTCCATTCGACTTCCAAGGTACAACTGTAGCTGCAATTGGGGACAGAAGTGAAGTCCTATTGCTTCCGTTATATAACAACAGTAAAAAGGGAGCAGGTGGCGCTGTGGTCTAAACCACTGAGCCACTTGGGCTTGCCAATCAGAAGGTCGGCAGTTTGAGTCCACGCAACGG